CCACGTGTGCTGCCCTCTGGGAAGCGGCTTCGCAGCATTTGATTCAGGCCCAACAGGTTCTGTAACAGCTTTTCCCCCACTGCCTTCAGACTGCTGAACTGTTAAAAAAAACTCTAAATCATGTCACAAACTCTGCATCACACTGATAACACCAAACCAAAAAAATTGCATATATGCAACATATATATAAATGCTCTGAACTTCCATATAAATATGCTTTTGCACCATGTTTTTTTCTCCCACACTGTTTATGTTTGATCACTGCTTCACTTTATGGAATTGAAATGTTACTGTAAGAAAGCTGTACTAAACGAAATTTAATTTGGTATACCCTCTGTATACAATAGGGGTGTGGGAAAAAATGGATTTGGCGATATATCGTGATATTCGGCTGCCCAAAATAATATAAATTTTTCAGTTCCTAATATCGATTTTCAAAAGAAAAGCCAAGATAGGTTTACCTTAAACAATGAGGGGAAAATGGACTACCTCTGCACTGCCACTCTGGTAGATGGCGCTGTGGAGCCTTTTTACTGTGCAGCACATCAACATCTCTGTAGTTGAGGCAGTCACAGTGAAAGACGTGTACTGACTCAAACCCCAAACAACATGGCTTCTGATGAACATATAGAGCGCTTACTTTTCATTTTGATAGCTGGGCAAAATATCGAAATATGTAGTGATATCGCAATATAATATTGTATGATAATATTGTATTGTGACCCAAGTTTGTGACACGTATCGTATCACAACACCCATGCCAATACTCACCCCTAGTATACAAATTGACAATAAACGTTGTCTAAGTCTAAGTGGCCCATGACCAGGACAGACTAGGAACCAGGAAGCAGGACATCCTGAACACAGGGAGATGTTCTGTGGTTACCTGAGCCCAGCAGAAGCTCAGGACGGCAGCAAACACCAGCAGGAAAGTTGTTCGCTTCATCCTGAAAAACAAACAGATACAAACTATAACTCCTCTTACACTGGAGGAGGAAGACTTGTCCTTTTATTTTCTGATCTTAACACTCAAAGGAAGAACTTTACCAGCTTTTTTTTTTATAATGTGTTTGTTTATAACAGAACAGTTTACTGGGTTAGAAAAAAGGTGGTTTTCAGTGAAAACCAGCATTTCAGTTGGTTTTGACTGAAAACCAACTTCTGTTTGTCTTCCAGATGAAATGATGGCGTCCAGAACCACAAGAATTCCTCTGAATCATTGACGCTTCAGTCATAGCGTCCTCTGAGGGAGCTAAAATTACAGTGCTGCTGCTCAACAGTCTGTTCGCACACAATGACTGCCTTCTTCTCCACACATCTGGACCTTCTTCAGCAGCTCCAACCTCAGACCACACACGCAGGGATGATGGAAAACCCAGATGGCGCCGTCCAGCAGTGTTTTTCCCTTAAAACTCAGGGAGTTCAGCGAGCAAAGCAGAAACATCAGGAGGTAGAAACAAACGGATGCCTACCTCTAATACTTCTAATCGTCTCCTTCTCTCCTCAGCTTTGACACTGAGCTGTTTTCATCTGAATGCATCCCCTCTCTCAAGGTTCTGGACGGATTCAGTCTCTTCTTCTCAGTGTTTCCTCTTCTCTCAACTTTGGTTAAACCCAACAGCTCTAATTAGAGGAGTTTGTGGTCCAATCAGTGGTTGAACCATTTAGTGGTTGCACAACGAGCCCAGATCATCAACGCTTTACCACCATGCCCAACTATCTGTTGTGGAAACATCTGGGTTTCTATTCTCATGGATACTTCCTTTTTCCTCTTTTGTTGGTTCTGAATACCCAGCATGCAGTCATTTTATCTCACATCTTTCTTTATGTTCAGAGTTACATGAAGTTGAAAGAAACATCAAAACAGGAAAATGATCCAAAATATTATTTTTAGAGGATTTGGTGACTAAACCTGCAGCACAGAACCAACCGAACTGTTGATCCACTCAGACATTATATAATGGGGTGGAAAAGCACCGCAGCTGCAGCGCACAGACGGTAAAAGGGTTCTGGACAGAAACATAGGATCAAACAAGAATAGAACCAGTTCTGGACCTTTCAAAGTCTTTGGTTCGCATTTAAGGATGGAAATAAATCAAAGCAGCCCAGATGTTAACGAAGCTTCCTCTTGTCAGGTCTGGGTTTCTGTCGCCGAACCTAGCAGCGGTACCAGGAACCCAGTTTGCGCTTTTCCAACCAGGAGCACAATCTTACACACTTTCAGGAAAAACGAAGAAAATAGAGGAAGCAGATTCCTCACCTCCAGGTCTGGACGGTCCACGTCGCTCCTGTTCAGTCTGGCTGCTGGAAAAAGTGATGGACCCGCGGGTCTGCGCACACACCAGCGCGCAATCATGGCGCGGGGGCGCGCAGGAGGACCAGAAGCTGGAAATGAATGATAATAAAAAGCTTTTTTTTTTCTTCCTTTCACCGCATTTTAGCCGTTTTTGTGAAATCGGCACAAGATGTCTTATTTTTATATTTTATAAATAAATAATTTACGCCATATTAAGTTAATTACTTATCAGTTTGCTTTGTTTTCATTCTACCAGTTGATGACAGGAAAACAAATCATGGATTCTGATGAGAAAAAAAATGTCTTCATGCTTTTGGTTCTTTTGGCCAGAAAAGTGAGACAAAAAAAAAACACCTATGGACCTATGGAAAGAGTCAATGATGTTTATTGGCTGAATTTTAACAATTTTTAAAAGCATGTTCTCCCTGAGCATGTGTGGGTTCTCTCTGGGTACTCCGGTTTCCTCCCACAGTCCAAAAACATGACTGTTAGGTTAATTGGCTTCTCTAAATTCTCCGTAGGTGTGAGTTTGTGTGAGTGGTTGTTTGTCCTGTTTGTCACTGTGTTGCCCTGCGATGGACTGGCGACCTGTCCAGGGTGGACAATGTAGACACCAGTACCCCTCGCGACCCCACTTGGGATTAAGCGTGCCAAGAAATAGATGGATGGATGGAAATGTTCATAATTTGTTTGAGATCAATCAAGGATTTCCAAAGATATAAACTTAATTTGCCAACAATAAATAACTCTGTCCGTATGCTATGTAAAGGTGAAACATTCTGAATCTCATCTGGTTACAGCAGTTCTACGGGCGCAGAAAAAAATGTGGACCCAATCCAACAAAGGTGGTGTTTTTGGAGAGCAAACCCAGAGGAGAGAGTGGGATGGAAGCACAGGATGAAAAACTATTTAATGAGGAAGAGAAGCGTAGACAGTCTGATAAAGAACTGTTTCTGAATGTGTCACAGTCAGGTTGAAGACCCAGATGCAGAACATCATGGAGACAAAATCAAGAAGGAATTAAGAAACACTTACAGAACTGAAAGGCAGAGTAACAGGGAACAAGGGAGCAGAGGTCACGGTGCAGGAGGTAAATGAACAGAGACAGGAGCAGGGGGCTGGAAGAATCCAACAAATGAGGGGAAAACAGGCAGCTTATAAAAAAAGAGAGTGATGAGAAAAGGCACGGCGAGCAGGAGAATGTGAACAGAGGAGAAACAGCTTAAGAAGGCAGAGAATAAAAAAAGATAATCCAATAAATCAATTATTGAAATTATCTCTAACATGATACAAAGACTCTAAATCATTCAAATTTCTTAATGAAAAATCCAGAGCAGAAATTAAAGGTGCAGTAGGAGATCTTTTCTGATGCATTTTTTACCATGTGGCTTGAAAATCTCCCCACAGACGCGTAGCAAGAAGTGAAATAGAAGTCTGGAAGTGAAAAAAAAATGCCCCCGCCACAGTTTGAAATCGATAAGTAACACCCACCAATCTCACGGTCCGTGGTCCACTATTAGTTCCTGACATGTCAATCAGGGTTGTCTGCTTCTCCCTCCCCCCGTGCGTGTACCCTGAACATGAACGAATCGACCCCCAATCCTCGTGCAGGCGCGAGCATTGGGTATCAATAGCACTATCAATACTTCTTGAAGACACAACCGGGACAGCCTGTTTACCTTCATTGAGATGTTGAACAATCTTACCATAGAAGGAGAAGAGGATGCCATGGCTGGAAGCTAGTCACTGTTATGTTGTTGTTGGCTAGTTTCAGTCTCTGCTTGTTTCATTCTCAATCTCGTAAACATCTGAACACCTCGACAGACATCATACGCGTTCATGTGTTTTGAAGGCGTGTTACGAGGGGTGGTCTGAAGGGAGAGGCATGGTTGTGTATTTGAAAAAATATAGCTTGCTGGAACTGTTTTTCCAAGATCTCCTACAGCATCTTTATTTTAAAAAGGCAAAAAGATAAACATTTTGCCCTAAAGACTAAAATATTATTTAATAGAATCTCTATCCAAATGGCTTAGTTTTCTTTTAAGCTGGTCCAAATTCAGAGCACCTTTTTTCTAACTGAGTGTTTAATAATCAGTTAGTCATTTAACAAATTATTTACGGAGGCCCTAAAATGATTGGGCTGTGAGCAGCAAAGGAGAGGAATCTAATGAAGTTTAAATATTCAGACAGAAATTTGCCCCTTTATTATCCAATTTACTTTTGTTGGTAACTTGGATATAAACACTACTGAAGTTAATAAGGCCAAATTGTGAGGTTAAAAGTTGTCTGGAAGGTCTACCTTTTGTTTTAAAGCTGAGTGTAACTACTTCATAGAAAACCACCAGGGATCTAATGTGGTTAGCCACTGTACAGTAAGTTAAAAAAAACAATAAGTTCAGCTAAAAACTTACGAGCTATTTGTAAATAAAGAGTTGAGCTAAGTTCCTGTATCAGTATCAATGTTCTGAGTGTTAAGAAACTGGCCCCATATACCATAGCCTGCCCGCAGGGCTCTCCACCCATCTGGGGTAGGGGCTGTCCTCCCAATGTCCTTAGCTCTGGGGTGCCTGTGGGTATCAGGGGGTTTCTGCTCTTGGGGGAGGCTCTGGGGCCCCTCACACCTACTCTTCCATATATCTTCCAGTTGAAGGAGCCTCATGTTCCTTATGAACACAAATACATTAATGCATAAACACCATAGATTTGGACGCATGTGTTCATGGACAAGTAGTTAGGCTAAATACTGAGCTGCAGCTATAACCAGTGTTGTTTTCGTCAACAACGACGATGACAAAATAATTTTGGTTGATACTCCTTTTTTTCATGATGATAACGAAAGCTGGCAAGCTAAACATGGATCTTTGATGACTAACACATGGCAAGCCATAGGTTTGAGTTTCTGTCAACAAGACGAGACTAAATAAAAATTAGCGGGTTGTTGGTTAGACGTTTAAAATGCCTCATTGTACTGTAATCTGCTAAGCACTATCAGCCGTGCTGTTGCCTCCTGTTTGAACCTGCCGCCCACCTGCATTCCACATGCTGCAGGAGCACAGGTGGATCATGGCAGCAGAAGCAGGGTCTGAAAAAATAACCCAGAACAGAATGATCCAGTACTGCGTGCTAACAAACTCTGCTCTGATCTTCCACCTGTGCTTGCACAGAAATGCATCTTTGGCACAGAGCTCAGAGTTTCTCGCTCCACACTGATGGTTGACTCTTAGCAGTATGGCTCTTCCTGCTCTCGCTTCTTAAAGGAATAGTACACCCAAAACATGATTAGCCTTCATTTTCTACTCACCCCCATGCTGAACAACACTCTGGAGTACTTTTTTGATATCTCAAATGCATCTGGAGATCTGGGAGGCTTCTTGCTGTCTGCTGACATTCAAATAATGGAGGTCTATGGTGCCCGAGACAGAAAGGTCCATAAAAGTCCACAAAAAACGTTTCAATATTCCTCCATACTGCTCGACCAATGTATTCCAAGTGTCCTGAGTGGGTAGCATCCAGAATTTACTCGAAACGAAGTCATTTAGAATGTTTTTAGAGCATAAACAGTAGTGTATAAGATTTCCTGAAAGCGCGCGCCTGCGAGTTCACGACGCTATGGAAACCGCGGCAGACCAAACCAGATGAAAGTGCGCATTCAGCTCGGCAAAAAACTCATGCTCTTCCTCAACACTGAAGTCCTCAGACATATTTCTTTCGTTGTTTCTTTCTTTGCACAGGTAAACAGCACATTTCTTCTTCTACGCTTGCATTATCGGCAGAGCAGACGCTGAATGCGCACTTTCATCTGGTTTGGTCTGCCGGCTTCCGTAGCGTCGTGAACTCGCAGGCGCGCGCTTTCAGGAAATCCTATACACTACTGCTTATGCTCTAAAAACATTCTAAATGACTTCGTTTCGAGTAAACTCTGGATGCTACCCACTCAGGACACTTGGAATACATTGGACGAGCAGTATGGAGGAATATTGACACCTTTTTTGTGGACTTTTATGGACCTTTCTGTCTCGGGCACCATAGACCTCCATTATTTGAATGTCAGCAGACAGCAAGAAGCCTCCCAGATCTCCAGATGCATTTGAGATATCAAAAAAGTACTCCAGAGTGTTGTTCAGCATGGGGGTGAGTAGAAAATGAAGGCTAATCATGTTTTGGGTGTACTATTCCTTTAATAAACTATGTTGCTGATCATCCTCTGCCAAGTGTAAAAAAACACTTTGTCTAACTATCAATTTTATTTTATCCAGCTCACAAGAGGGCATACTAAACTTTCTTTAATTTCTACCAAAAGGAATCCCTAAATTAAACCCACATAAAACATTTAATTGAATTCTGTTTATTTTTGGATAAAGAGTGCAGCAGCCAACTGGGAGGCTGTGGAGGACAGCCTGTCATGTTTAATGATGAGTGTGGAGAAAGAAGGCTTACTAAAAACAGGCTGATGGGCATAATGAAGATCATGAAGAGTCTGTTGTTGAGGGTGTGATCTCTTCCTCCATCATCTGGTGGGATAACAGTATCACAGCAAAGGACTGAAAGAAGCTCAATCAGCTGATAGAGAAGGTTGTCTCTGTTGTTGGAACTCCTCTAAAACCTCTGGAGAAGATTTCACAAAGAAGAATTCTCCATGAAGTAAGAAAGATTATGGACAACAGTGACCATTCTCTTCATCATATGTTAGATGGCCTGTACTTATGTAGCGCTTTTTCCAAATCAGGAGACTTGATCAAAGCGCTTTACACTACAGTCAGTCATTCACCCATTCACAGACACACTGTCTGAGGCAGGCTATACTGTAGCCACAGCTGCCCTGGGGCTCACTGTTAGAAGCGAGGCTGGCGCCACCAGTCCCTCCGACCACCATAAACAGGTAAATTCTCTTGCCCAAGGACACAACGACGCTGAAAGCCAGAGCGTGAACCGAAAACCCTCCGGGTGCAGGGTAAACTCCTGCATCTTGTGTCTTCAGTCAGAGGTTTCTGCAGATTCTTTGTAAGTTAGGCCCTCGCTGAAAAAAACAATAACATTTCAACCTTTTATTTCCCTTTGGGATAAGTGAA